AACCAAAAGATGTCTGTAAGACAGAATGCGAAGTGCAAACCAGGAGAACTGAGCTCCAGTTTGCTGTGTCTGCAAACACACCCTTTCCTCGACAGCCTCCATATCTCCCGTCAACTATATTTGGCACTGGGTGGCTTCTGGGAGCCTCCCAGGTATCCACCCATCCCGTGGACCTCAGATTTGCAGGATTTGTGAAACCAATTGTCTTGCCTACCACAGAAGCACTGTCCTATTTCCGAGCTGACACCACCACCTAGTGTGTCACTCAAGGAAGGCATGCCGGTGGGGCTGCTGGAGCCTCCCTTCTGCCTGCCTTTCCTCTCATGCAGGGTCTCGCCCCAGCCCTGCACCCTCCTTAGTCTCACTCCTTAAGGTCTTGCTGCTGGCAGCTAGGACAGGACACTCAGTCCATAAAAAAGCACTGTAATTACATATATAATATAATTTATAGTTTATGTAAATAATATTATGTATAATCATATAATATATAAACACAATAATTACCTTTATAAGTAAAATAAATCTTTCCTGAGCAGCAAGATATTGATCATGTGAGGAAATTTTTAATCAATCTCCAAAATGGAATCTTCTAGAATGGTCAGTCGGGGTTAACAGAGGGTCCCTGGTACTCCAATCCCACCGTACATGCAGTACCTATATTCCTATGGATGGAAGAAATCCGCTGGTGGCTCTCTAATTCTAGGCATTCAATCTGAACTTGGCTCCTGGAGGCCGTCTCGGGTCCTAGCCACACAACACCATCATACAGCAGCTCTCAGCAGTAACCTCCAGAAGATGAGCTTCAGTCCCAACATAGGGACTGATTCCTGCCAGCAGCAAGAAGCAGAACGCAAGCCTCAGAGAAGGCAGAGGTAGCCCACACTTTGATTTCCTTCAAGACCCAGGGCTGAGAAACAAGGAAAGCTGTGCACACCCTGCCCTTTGACTTACAAGGGACCGTGAGAAAGTAGGTGAATCCCGATTTCCCCTGCTAACTTCTCGGCTACAGCAGGAAAAACCGGCAGACACTTGGAAGGGGGACACTACTGTAACACAGACTTACACTGTGGTGTGTGTGTGTGTGTGTGTGTGTGTGTGTGTGTGTGTGTGTGTGTCTGGCAGGGGTGTGGGGGTGGGGAGGAGCCTGACAGAGAAAGCTTGTGGTCCCTTAAATAGACCTTTGATGAAGATGCTAGAGCTGCTGGCAGAAGGAGGGGAGGGCCATGTAGAGGAAACTGGATGGGCATCCTTGCCACAGCAGTTCCCAGAAACTGATGTGAAGTCACGGGGACCCCAGTCCAGGAATAAACAGCCAGACCAGCCAACCATGGTCCTCTACCCAGCTAAACTACTTCACAAACACGGAAGGCAGGATTTAAAATTTCCCAAATAAGCAGCAAATAACCTGCTGCAAATAGATCTAGCCCTCGGAGAATCACTAACGTCCTCACAATGCAAGCAACGCGTGGACCCTCAGAAAGTAAAGTACAACTCGGGAACCAGTACCTGCGCCAGGACACTAAAGGACCCTGTGAGTGTTTGTGTGTATAGTGTTTTACTGTTTGAAGCAGTAATCATGCCATTCTACTGCTGGGTTTATACGACATGGAATGTCGATAACAGAAAAGAGGGGAGAAGTGGGCTGGATTGATGGAGCTAAGTTTTAATGGAATTAACTCAGCAATAAGCTGAAGACTGTAAACTTTAAGAAGCATTTTGTAATCTCTGAGACACGTGGGGGTTTCCTGGTGAGTACTCGCTTAGCATGCACAAGGCAGTGGGTTTGATGTTCACATTGAGGGTGTGTGTGTGTGTGTGTGTGTGTGTGTGTAACACACATCACCAGAAGCATTTATGCCATCATGCAGATGGGTAATGAATCTGTAGTGGATTCGCATTATTTTATAGAACTGGTATCCAACCTAGGTGATAACTTATGCCCACTGCCCCAGCCTCCAGTGAGTGTGGGGTTAACTCGTTCATAGCGGATAGGTGTGGTCACTCTGGCGCGCCACCCCTCCCAGGTTCCTCAGTCTGGATTACACAGCCTCCTCCTACAGACTGTTCTCCTGTAGGCCTCATCCTTCTGATCTCCACACACCCTGCAGTCAGCAGATCTGCCCCGGAGACCACCTAACTCCATGTAGCATTACAGAGGAGGCTCAGCTCTGGGGAAAGTGCCAAGGTAACAGCCTGAACATACCAGCAAGGGCTTCTGCCACCAGGGTTCCCACACACTTCCATTCCTCTGCCCCATCTACTGATGTCCCTCCTCCTGCTGGCTCCTTGAGGCCTGCACAGAAGGTGGCTACTCTTGGTTCTCAGCTTCACTACATCTGGAAGTATTAACATTCAAGCACCTGGACACACCTGTGAGGGTTTTTTTCTTAACTAAATAATCTCAAATGGGAAGACCCACTTTTAATCCAGATCTTTTGAGTTGGGAAGATCCAGTGTTAATCTGGGCCACGCCTTCTGCTGGCTGCCTATATAAAGGACACAGAAGGAGGAAGCTTGCTCTTCACCTGCTTGGTCTCACTCTCCCTGGTAAGTACACCCCTTCACTGGCATTACAGCCTACTTCTTTGAGATCCCGGTGTGTCCCGAAACCCAGTGGAGACATCCAACCTCGTGGACAGAACAGCTACTGGATTCTTGGACCTTCCATTTGTCAACAGCCACTGTTGGACTAGCTGGACCACAGCCTGTAAGCCATTTTTGAAAGAATGAAATCCCCTTTCGCTGTATGTATAGAGTCATCCTATCAGTTGTGTTACTCTAAAGAGGCTTGACTGATACAGGTCTGTCTCGCTCCTCTCTGGATCTGTAATACAGTCCGAATGCTTTTCACGGGGTTTTCTTTCCTCCCAGGGCACACTGGCTGACACTGCTAACCCTAACGTCTTTCTTTCCAGGTCAGTGCTCTCCCAGAGGACGGTGATCTTGGTAGGTTCTACTAGACCTAACAGAGAAAAGAGCCACAGCCACCTGCCAGGATAAACAAAGTTCTGTGAAACTGGGCATCAGGCTGTCCTCCTGGATACAGAAGTCACCCATGAAAAACACAAGGTGAAGATCTACCATCAAACAGCCAGGTCCCCAGCAAGGCCCAGCTGGGGCTGACACTCTCCTGAGAGCCCAGAAGAGGAAAGCAGAACGGATCCTAGGACCCAAAGCAATCCACCTCAGTGACTCTGCATACCAGCTTCGCATCCATACCTTGGAGACAGGAGACCCACAGCTGGGTGGCTCCTCACACCTATGTGGCCTTTTCAGACCCTTCACCCATCACTGAAGGGAAAGAAAGCATTCGAAAAGGAAGCGAGGATTACTTTCTGCATCTTCTCATACCCTAAAGCTTACTGCTCTTGGTGGAAGGAGTAAGTGATGACTCCTCAGGAAAGCCAGCTGGCTGCTATACCCATGATGCAGAAAGACCAGGTGCAGCCTCCCACACTCGGGGTGTAGTCTCGGACGCTGACTGCATGTCTGGCCCACCCAGGCTGCTGTCTTGTGTTTGGGGAGGGCCTCCCCTGCCACACCAGGCCCACCTGACCCTACACTACAGAAGGCAGGGGAAAGCAGAACACACATCTCCATAACAGGGCAGGGTTCTTCGGGCAGGCCCACAGCGTGAGAGCTGAGCCATGCAGGGATCACCCGCCCTATGCTCCCACCTGCTCAAGAGCTGCTTAATCCTTGAAGAGAAAACAACTGCATTATTTTTTTATCTGCTTCTGAATAAACCCCTAGTGCCATTCACTGTGCTTCAAATTTTACCCAGGGTTTCTATAAGAATCTAAGGGGTGGGTGGCTCAGAGGATAGGTGCTTGCCTTGAAAGTGAGGACCAGAGGATGGACCCCCAGTATGCACAGAAGAGCCTGGCAGACAGCAGGCCTGCAGAGAGTGATCAAGAGAGACACCTTGAACTCTGACCTCTACACATGTGCCTCGGATACGTAAACATGAGTATACACATACTACCTACATATGAAAAAAAGGCAGTAGAGGATCAAAACTCACATCTCAGAGCAGCCACACACACATGCCCTGAACCAGGCTAAGTCCTCAGCTGCTCCTGCCCCCAAACTCGGTTTTCTGATCTTCACCTCACTCACACAAACTGAAGCACAGAGCAGTTAAGGTCAGCAGTTAGATCTAGGCAGAGCAGGCCGGTTCCTGAAGAGCTGTTAGCATCATTCCAGAAGGATCTAAAGTTTGAGAGAAGAGCTAGAGACATGAGGTGACACTTTTCAATCAATCACATATGTATTTTCACAATTGACTGGGACAGAAACATGATCTACAGTCCACCTTTGCACTGATGTTTTCTTGAGACAGGCTCTTACGTAGCCCAGGCTAACCTTAAACTCTCTGTATGGCCAATGATAACCCTAAACTTCTGATCCTCCTGGCTCCACTGCCCAAGTACAGCGATTAGGGGTGTGCCACCAAGCCTACTTTTAAAAAAAAAAAATGGGGTACTAAGGACTGAACCCAGGGCTTCGTGCATGATAGGGGCGGGCCCTCTACCAACTGGCCTACATCCCTGGTTCACGGATGATACTTTGAATCGCTCCTACTAGCTTTAACAAGTTGGCAAGCTCTTGGAGCAGATTCAGGATCACTCACACGTCTGAGTGACTGAGCAATGTCTACAGCAGCTGCTTTGTCACAAACTCTCACACCGATTTACATAATCAAACACTACTTAAGAACAAACTCGAAAGTTGAGTTTCATGTGGAACAGGACATCCCCCCCCCCCCCCGGGCACTATCTTGTGATAAAATATTAAGAGTGCTATAAACATGTTTTAAAGTCACAGTGGCCAAGTACTACTCAAAGCCACCAGCCAACCTCGGACTAGGCGTGACTAGGTATACATGCTCAAGTTTGAATGACCTTGGTAAACCACACTGTTTCTTTTGAGCTTTCAGATTTGGTTAGTCTGTTTTGGTCAGTACGGACGTTATGATAAAGCTTTGGCCGTGGTAACAACACATAAGCAGAAAGCAGTCTTTATTGTATAAACCCAGACCACTCATCTCACGCACACCTAACGAAATCAACACGATGTTTCTAGTGTCCATCTTGCCCCAGTGAGGAGTTACTCTAACACGACACTTGAGGTATTACCAGTTTGTGCAAAGTATACACTGCAAACATCAACGAGCCTTTGTAAGTACCAAAATAAAATATTTACCTTTTTGCTAATGAGAAAAAAGGCACCACTGTACAATGTACATCTTGATAGAAAAATACCCTAGTGAAGCCTTCAAATACCAAAGGCAACACCTTGGGATTGCCCTCAGAGATAGGGCACAGGGAGACATTTTTAAAGTTTTCAAAATCTGTATAAAGCTTATTCTCATTCTTGTGACAACCAGGTACTTTCTCCATCTCGTTGGGCACCATGTCCATGGCCATGATGGGCTCCTTCCTTGACAAGGCGACGCACTATGACATGTGCTCCTTGAAGAACCATCTCTGGTTATCTGAGTTGGTACAGTCCCTCAGGAGTGGTGCAAAGCCGGGGCCGACCTCCTTCTTTGTGGCCTTGACACATTTCCTAGTCTGTTTGTGAACTAACGTGCCATCCTACAAACGATAACAGATGTTGTATGTTCAAGATGATTTTTAGTGGCTCCTCAGAAAAGCCCCATTTCCCTTCAGGCAGATTTTTAAAGGCCCTAGGGAGTGATTTTCAGCATTTCAGAAATATTTATCAACTATGCAAAACAGCGCCACCTGCTGACTACTCAGGAGGATGGGATGGTGGCTCCTCCTTCAGTGAGGTCACAGCCAAGATCCTTTATTGACCTTCCTCATGTCTCTTCATCAGCTAACTCCATCCCTGATGGCTTCCTTCTCCTGAGCATGCAGAGACCAGGTGACATGGTATCCCTCCACCTTCTTTGCTTGAGACAGGGCCTCTTCTGACCTCAAGTTCACCAACTTAGCTGGCCAGCTTGTCCTGGGGATCCCTGACTCTGTTTTCCACGTGCTGACTCCCAGGCAGCTAGCACAATCATCCGGTCTTTATGAGGGGGCTGGGAATCTGAACTGCCATCCTCATGCTCGCATGTCAAGAGCTTTATCCAGGGAGCCACCCCTCCAGCCTTCAGTGAAATTCTCAATGCAGCATGAGACCAGTCTTGTTCTAGATTGCACTATCGCTATCTGGGGTTACGAAAAAAAGAAAAGAAAAGAAAAACCCAAAGGGAAGAGGACAACAGACTATGGGAGTGTGTGGATTATTTTTCCTAAAGTTTTTAATTTTACTCTAAGATGGTGTCTTCTGGCCTGGAACTCACAATCCTCCTGCCTCAGCCTCCTGAGCGCTGGGATTAAAGGAGTGTGCTACCACGCCCAGCTCTTATTTTCTTCTGTCAAACAGGAAACCACAGGGCTTGGTTCTTCCCGAGAGCCTGCAAACTTCACTGCTTATTACTACATTTTTTTCTACAGCTAAATATATTTCAACTCTGAATGGGATTTCAGATTAACCCCTTTCTGAGCGGTTGCAGCAGAATCTCTGTCCATCCCTGATGCCAGTTGGGAATGACTAATAAAAGATAGCTTACTTTTGTTGGGAGTTAGCTCCTCCAGTGTTTTGTAAAGTCTTGCCATGGACCTGCTGCAAGTGGGCCAGGGGCCTGTGCCTTCTAGATGTGCTAGGACATCGCACTTTCAATCAACAGTGTGTGGAAAGCCAGCTCCATCCAAGCAGCCATGAGTCTCTATAGGGTCTCACAGCTCCCACAGAAAGTCCTGGGAACCCACTATATCCTTCCTGGAGCAGGACAAGGCTGCTATAACAAGCCCATAGAGAAAGTTAAATGGGGCTCAGAGAAGCAAGGCAGTTCCTGCTTGGGTCTAACCTCATGTTCTGGCATTTGGGTATTTAAGGCATTTGTATAACCCATCTGACCCCCATACATCTGTGATGACTCTACTTTCTATTCTTCCCCACCGCAGCTCCTGGTGTAAGAGAAAAGGCTGAAGGAGAAGAAAGCCCCACTGTCACCAGAAGCCACAGACTCTGACCCTACCTCCCAGGGTCACAGTGAGGCCTCCCGCACTGTCTTACAGACCTGGAAGGATGACAGAGAGAGCCGCACAGTCACTGACCTCGTGTAGGATGAACTCCTGATTCTCTGGAACGGCGTCTCGGCAGAGATGCATGACAAGGATGTCCTTCCCTTCCTCCACAGCTACACAGGCCTCGGGCTGGCGGGTGTTGTAGCGTAGTTCTTTCTGGGATGTATACTCGAAAAACTAACAACAGTGTGACCAGCATGTGTCAGTGTACCTTGTGATGTGACAGAAGATACCCTGAACAAGATCGTCCAGGGCAGCAGTTTCTCAACCTGCATATCAGATATTTACATCACGATTCATAACAAAACTACGGTTATGAAGTAGTGATAATAATAATTTTAGGGTCGGGGGTCACAGCATGAGGAGCTGTATTAAAGGGTCGCAGCATTAGGAAGGTTGAGAACCAATGACGCTGGGGAAATAAGCGGGGTGTGCTGGAGCACCACCACTCCACCTCATGCCACCACTGCCACGACCTGTCAGGGCTTCAGGTGTCTTGGGGCACTGAGCTGGCCTCTTATTTGAGCCCAAATAAGACCTTTCTTCCTTGGATTTTTTTCTGTCATAGTGACTACAAAGTAACAGACACCAGTAAGTCCCACATGTTAGGCTAATCCTCTGCCACTGAGTCACACTCCAGCAGGAATATATATATATAAGTTAATTTTCTAAAGGACTCACAGAGGGCTGGTGAGATGGGTCAGCTGGAAAAAGACGCTATTAACCTGACCTGAGTTCTATTCCTGGGACCCGCATGGTAGAAGGAGAAAACTGACCCTTGCATTTGTCCTCTGACTTACACACACACACACACACACACACACACACACACACACACACACACTCACACACATTGTAGGCACACATGCACAGGCAAATAAGTAAATAAACATAATAAAAAGGTTTTTTTTTTTTTAAAGAAGAACAACAAAGCTTGCCCCTCCCTATTGAGACCTACACCTACCTGGTTCTGACCCATCCCATGGCAGAGGTACAAAACAACCTGTTGGCCATCGACTTGGTTCTCACTGGGAGGATTATAGTCAAAGCAGTACCCTCTTAATCCTTTGTTCTGGAGCTAAACAAAACACAGAGGTGGCATGTGGGTCTAGATGTCTACACACCAGAAGACCCCACACAAGGTCACTGGGGAGAACACAGTGAGGACAGAGGCCCCAAGGAGACAAGCGCTGTCCTTCTGTCCAGTTCCTGCTAGTCACCGTAATGCTTTCCCACGCTGACACCAGGTGTGAGCTTGGCTCCACTTTCGGAGGACAAACCTGGCCTATAAGCTCACATCTCTATTTCTCCGTTGCAGCCTTATTGCTGCCCTGGCACAAGCATCTCTGGGTCACGGCCTCGCTTTCATGACGAAATACAAAACAGAGAGGTGCAACTTACAGACAGTACCATGGGGAAAACATTCCACAGACAACCAAGCCTGTTTTCTTCTCAGCGTGGTAAAAGCAGTCACAGGAGAGGACACATGGAGGCGTGACTCAGGCTAAAGGAGCCTTCCGGAGCAAGCTGCAACAGCCTGACACAGGGCCCCACTAGAGTCTGCGACCACCCAGAGGGCAGCCCGAGAAATGGAGGAGTGTGCACTGAAAGGCAGAGAGATCAGCAGCAAGGCATAGTGGCTATGTGGCGGGCTGTGGCAAAGGTCTGATTCCTATGGTAATGCCACATTTGCGAAGACGCACACTCAAGTGGGCAGCAGTGAATGACATGACACGTGGGGTTCGTCCTGACAGACAAGAGCAGCAAGGGTGGGACAGGGGAGAAGAAGACGAGAATCCGGAATATTCTGGAATCACAAGACACAAGACTCAAACCTTTCCCGGTGTTCTGGGAAATTTTCACACTGCAAACATAATTTAACACTAAGTCCTAGCTTTGCACCCATCCCAAAAGGGGCAGCAGCACTTCAGATGAGCAGCAACAGAGTGGTCCATGGGGATATGGTGCTGCTCCAAGCAAAAGCAAAAGCATGACTCTCGTCTTAGCTGGACTCATTCTACATTTTTTTTTTTTTTTTTAGGTTTTCTGAAGGACTGGAGGTGAGTCCTCTGCCTCCACTATTGTTTGTGTGGCTTTTAAGGACTGGGAATCACTGAACTGGCCAGTTGAGACTAAAAGTAACGTGAAAATACCAGCAAAGACGAAGACACAGAAACACCACATAAGCCTCCTTCCCCCGCCCAAGAACAGCAATTAATTAACTGGTGAGATGCTCCATGGGCACAAGGACTTCCACACAGGTCTAATGGCCTGAGTTTGATTCCCCAGGTCCCACAAAATGACAGAAGAGAGCTGTTCTCTGATCTCCACATGCCCCATGACACCCCACTTAAACAACAACAAACCATAGCTCATCCTTGACAACTTCCAGCTGCCTTCCTGTCCTGGCATTCAGGACCCAGGGCCCAGATGCCCAAGGGGAGAAGAAAGAACAGTGTGTTATCAGACAGGAGGGTTGAAAATGGTGGAGGTCTGTAGTCTTCACAAATAGGGATTTTCTTCCCCCAAGATCGTTGTTCAGACCCAACGTCTGGCAACGTCCATTCCACTATGATCCAGGCTCACCATCCCAAAGAAGCCAGGCCTGTCCTCTGGCACGTGTAGTTCTGGGTACACTGTGTCCAGGAACCACTTGAAGTCTTTACACTTGAGCTTGGCTCGAAGCTTCTTCCTCTCCGTCACGTCCCCAAAGGGTTCCTGAGAACACAACAGAATACTGAGTCCCTACAGTCCCTGGACCTGCCTATCTACACGCGTTCTCGCTGAAGTCTCTAGCTAATATATAATCCAGCGTGTTTACAGAGCTGGGTGCTGGGCACAGAATGTTCAAGTAGCCAGTGTCATTAGCGTGTGAGGAGAGAACTAAATGCCACAAATTGTCCCCTGACCTCCTTATGTGCATCACAGCATGTTAACACCCACTCACATAACACAAATCAAATGCAATTTATTTTTAAAAGAAGGAACTGGGGGGTAGACAAATATTTACGTATCGCCCATTTGGGGGAATCACTTGTCAGTCTTCAACAAAATAACACACTGGAGCAGGGACAGTCCCATGACAGGCAAGAAGAGACCATCACACTGGCACAGCTATGGGGAAGCCCAGGAAGGAGAATGAGGTCAGGAGGCAAAGTGTCTGCAGACAGAGCCTGGGAGCCAATCACGAAGCCCGAGTCAGCATCTTGGACCCCTGGGCCAATGTGGACGCTGACCACAGGCCAGCCTCATGCCCAACCAGAGGAATGGCACGACTTAGGCTGCACCCTTCTTACTACTGTTATCTGAGAGTTCACTTTCAAACACAGGAGAGTGTCCTAGATCTTATCATGAGGGACTTGCATATTCAATACAGTGAGGCACAAATCATGCTGAATGCTGAACTCATTCACATGAGCTCAAGGCTGCAGTAAGCTTCTGCACGTGTGAGTCCGCAGGCAAGCACCCTGAGTGACTAAACAAAGGCCGCCACCGTGCCGCACACAAACGGTCGCTCAAGAACAATGATGACATCTGAGATATGACTGTCCTTGCTCAAATGTGTTATCCCGTTGAAGACTGACAAGCAAGGAAAGCAATAAATTTTTATTGCCACTTCAAATTTTTATTCCCCAGTGCTGCTTTTGTTTTTTGTTTTTTTTACAATAACATTTATTTTGTATGAGTGCGTATGGGCACATGCCATGGTGCACATAAAGAGACCATGGGACAATTTGTGATAGTCAGTTCTCTCCTTCCACTATGTGGACCCCGTCATTGGACTCAGGTCTTCTGACTCGGTGGCTGGCCCCTTTGTCCATTGAGCCAGCTCACTGGCCCATCTTTGACCAAAGCCCATCTTCAAACATAACCCAACCAGCACTGACCTACAGGAGCATTCCACACCCCCTCACATGTTCTGGGGAGTGAGGGGGCCACTTTGAGAACAGCAACCCAGGGATCCAGGCAGTGGGGCAGTGAGGAGCAGGTGTTTTTGCCTGTTGCACTACGACAGGTGGAGGAGGCTGAGGCAAATGACCGTAGAGCCCTTGAGGCACACAGCCATGTGGTAGATCAGGCTGTTGACTACTGGGTTCAGCAGAGCTGAGAGAGGCACCCTGGAGCGTGCTACCTCCCATGAGCTACCAAGCCTTGGGTAGGTTCCTTCAGTTTCCCAGTCTCCTCTTCCTCCTTCTCCCCAACCCCCTGTGCTTCAGGCTTCTCATCTATAAAATGAGGATTTGGTAGCTACCCCCGCCCCCAGGGCTGCTGGCAAGGCCTCAGGAGAAATTTCCATCAAGGGCAAGAACAGATGTCTTGGAGAAGACCTCCTTCGGTCGCCAAGTGCCCCCCAGGCGTGCAAAGCTGACATCTGACGTATGGAGCTTGATGGGAGAGAGAGGCCATGGGCCCAAAACATTGTGGTGGGGGCTGGGGCGGAGCAGATCCTAGGTCCCTGAGGCAGGGGCCGAATGAGGCTCTGAGGCAATAGCAGCCTCTCAGCCATGGGCCTGAGGACAGTCGCTGGCCTGCTCCCACGGGGCCTCAGTCACCACAAGGTGTATGAGTACAGCTCGGTGTGTGGCTGGATTCTTGGGCACAGGGATCTAGCTGTGGAAGAATAAGGCTCCAGGTTGTGAACCGTTCCACAGTGCTGGGATGAAGCCTCTGAAAGGACACAAGAGACCTCCACCTAAGAAGGCAGGTGGGCTCTGAGCAGTAACTTCAGACAACAAACTGTGCCAACTTCCACCCTGAGTACCTAGACTCAACCAAGCTGGTTACAGAGGAAAGCTAGGACAACTGTACAACTGCCAACAGATGACACTACACAACCCAAGCTGGCTTCACAGGCACAATCAAGCCTGGCCACTCTCTGTTCTGTACTTGCAAATTCACCTCCATGATGAGCGGTCTCCACCCTACATAAATACTTGTGGTGTTTCCATACTGTCACAGACATCCACACACACAGGCTATTCAACATTCAAGCTAGTCAACACACATGTTCCCAGGAAGGCCTAAGAAGGCCATGCCCTGCCTACATGCTTTACACTCACACTATAAACATGTGTCTCTTCCACGATCTACTGGGACCTTGCTTTCCACCACGTGTTCCTGACTTTACCAGCCCCGACCAGTGTTTCTTGTATTTCTGAATGTAAGGAAGTGCTGTGGGGGCAACAACATGGCTCAGCTGTTAAGGGAACTTGCCACAAAGCCTGACAACATGGGTTTGAATCCGAGAACCCACATGGCAGTAGGAGTGAAGCAACTCCTCAAAGCTCTCCTCTGACCTCAATGCATGTGCCATGTCATGCTGGTACCTAAACAGAAGTGCACTTGCGCGCGCGCGCGCACACACACACACACACACACAGCAATAAATAAATGTAAAAGAAAAGTAAGTTGTGATGTGCCTCATAGAGAACATACTTTTACGTAAGAGCTATTCAGACATAGATAAGCGTGCCCTAGGACATGTGGTCATTACTGACGGACCAACAATGTATTTACTAAACAACGTGTCCTGAAACAGAAATATACATAACAACTGTACCAGCTGGCTGCCAAAACCGTTTGTCTGAGTCTCACAGGAACCAAATATTGCTAGAAACAATGTCATGAAAACCACTAATTCAGTTTTGGTAGTGTCTCTATGAAACACGGCTCTGTGGAGAATGAGAACCGATTGCGTATCCCCATGAATGAAGTATAGGCTTTCCCATGTCATATCAGAAAAGCCCAGTGTGCCCCGTTTTTATAACCACATATACCTTGCTGGGAAAGCCGGACTACGGGGCTTGGTCCCCATGCAGCTGACGGCGTACATGTGGGGAGAGACTCACCAGCCGGGCCCGGGGGTTTCGGTGGTAGTAGAGTTCTTTAAATTCATCCATCCACACCTCTGCAGCGCGGACACTGTTGGCCAGGGCCTTGCTGCGCGAATAGGGAGCTTGCTTGGGGAAAACGTGGCCTACGTGGGAGCAGGGGTGAGTCTCCAGAGTGCCACCACACTGCCAGATCTGCAATGGAGGTGGAGAGGCCACGTGGTAAGGGGTGGCTGCTGGGTCCACAGGGAGTTCAGCCAGGCGGCACATGCTGAGGCTCTCATCCTCCACAGAAATGGAGGCCACTTACCAACATGCACCTGACACAAAGGGAAAGAGCAAGACAGCAGCCCTGAGACAGACAGGACACAGGGGCTAAGAGCCCCAAAGCCAGGCAACACAGCTCATGCACCTGACTGGGGAGGGCCCTGGAGACCTCGCCAGCAACTCACTTCCTCAGTGGGTTGCACATGTCTTCATTACCTGATGCCACAGAAGAGAAGAGAACAGCAAGGAAGAAGGGAGGTTTGAGAGGTAGAGAGGAAGCTTCTAGAAGAGGCAGAGTATCCTGACACCTAGGGAAGAGGCAGAAAAACTGTTAGAATTACACCCAAAACTCAGGAGTGGGGGGAAAGTCATTTGGGGCCTTATTTTCCCAAAGACATTCTGAACAAACTCTAGCATCTGGTGTTTATAATGTAGGGTTTGAGTGCTGTGGGTTGGGAGGCCAAATTCTTCTCGGTTAACTGTTTTTAAGAAGGCAGAACAAGGGTGAAACACTGCTAAAATCTAAGTTCTGATCCTGCTGATGAGGAGACCACTGACAAGCCGACAGGCTCAGGACTTTGACTCTGGTATTTCAGGCCAGGCTCTGCCGCTAACTCTGAGTGACCATGCACGAGCCATGTCCACAACCCAGCCTCAGTTCCTCCTGCCTGTAGAGTGAGAGAGAAACTAGGCTTTTGATGCCGTTTCCAGCCCATGTCTTATGTTAATGTGAAAGTACATTTCCAAGATAGTTAAATATGATGTCAAGCATGTTGATAAGATATGCATGTTACTGTCTTGCAGGATAATGGGATACACCACCAATATTGAAGAGGGCAAGAGGGAGAGGGGGGAGGAGAAATAGAGAGACAGAGAGAGAGACAGAGAGAGAGAGGAAATGAAGAACACAGAAGGCAGAACTACTCACCCTGAAGGAGAATTCGAGGTTCTCTCCTCCCCAGACTTCCATTCCTGTATCGTAAGACCCCAGATACTCAAAATATCTCTTATTCACAGCAAACAGTCCCCCAGCCATTGTCGGAGACCTAGAAAACAGTGTTACCCATATTTCAGTGGAAGGGGCACAAAGCCTTCATGAGAGGCTTAACCACTCTCCCTCCTGAAGTCCATGTCCCACCAAGCCGAGCCCTTAGATGCATTCATCCATCCACAAGCACACCGAACTCACACTCTGTGCCTCGAAAAGCCTGGAGGCACACAGACACACCCCACAGTCCCTGCCTGGAAGTTCACAGAGAGCTCAACAGGCAAGTCCTCTGTGTATGGCACACATCACAGAAGGCAATCCAGAGTCCTGTAAGGCAGGGACAAAGACAAAGGGCAAAGAGGACAGAACCACGCTTCCGGAAAGAGGCAAGGTCAGAGGGAAGAGTGAGCAGAAAGAGGAGGAACGGAATTCAGCCCCACCCACTGGCATGCACAATGCCCTGGGGGCAAGAGAAACACCCCACCCCACCCCACCCACCCACCAATTTTTAGACTGTCTCAGAGCATTTGGCTGGCATGTGTGAGTCCCAGGATTCAACCCTCAACACCACCAGGGGAAAATTCGAATTTTAGCTATTTTAGCTTATGGATATTTTCCCCCTGTTAAAATTGTCTATCAATTAGCTGAAACATACCAATATAAAATCTGTTTCTGTCGAAAAGCTACTTAATAAGATCAATCAGTGCTCTGGGGAAACAGTGAGGTAGAGAGCGGAAGTCCACAGCCAGCCAACCTCCCCACGCCCCCCCCCCAACAGAATGTGCTCTCTTTGGGCCTGACCTGATGACGTCGATAGGAGACCTCATCAATGCCCGCTCCCGCTGGGGAACCACATGCCATGTGAACACCAGCCGCCAGTCAAAGCCTCCGATCTGCGGCTCCCCGGGGTTGCCCAGGTACTCGAAGGTGTTCCAGTCAATCACATCAATGACGGGGCACACCACGGCCGACTCCTTCTCGTGGATCCTGCGAATAGCCAACACATCAGTCTCTGCTCGAGACTGCAGGAGTTCCAGAATGGCGGTCACTCTTCCCGCCCCTTATTTAGGCGTTTGGGCCACCATGGGACATGCTAAGAAGGCAGAGAGAAGCAGAAACACGTATACCGCCACAGTCTCCTTCTTCTCTACGTCCCTCCGGGGACCCTCTGGCCTAACCCGAAACCCTTTCAGAGGGCTAAGGTGTGTGAAAAATCAAAGGTGACTTTTAAAACAAAGCAAATGCTCAATTTCTCAGGAGCGCAAATGATTGCGTTACAATGAAATACTTTACCATGAAGAAAAATTATCAAGTAGATGTGGAGACTCATAACCAAACCTTTGGTAGAGTGCAGGGAATCATTCGATAAAAGGGGAAGTTAATATGACCGGGAGAGGACAGGAGCTCTACAAGGACAAAATATATCAGGGCATGGGGTCTTCTATGAGACTGTTTCTCCAACCAAGGACCATGTATGGATATAACCTAGAACCCCTGCTCAGATGTAGCCCATGGTAGCTCAGTATCCAAGTGGGTATCCTAGTAAGAGGAACAGGGACTATTTCTGACATGAACTCAGTGACTGGCTCCTTTATCTCCCCTCTACTCCCCCACCCCCCAGAGGGAGGAGTAGCCTTGCTAGGCCACATTGGAGGACTTTGCAGCCAGTCCTGAAGATACCTGATAAGTTAGGGTCAGATGGAAGGGGAGGAGGACCTCCCCTAGCAGTGGACTTGGAAAGGGGCAGGGAGGAGGTAAGGGAGGGAGAGGGAGATTGGAAGGAAATGTGGGAGGGGACTATGGCTGGGATACAAAGTAAATAACCTGTGATTAATATAAACAAGTAAAAATTAATTTAAAAAGAGGATTTAGGGGGAATAAAAAGAAAGAATTATCTCTGGCAAGCAAGACAGCTCAGTGGATAAAGGAGCCTGTTGCCAAGACTGACGACCTGAGTTCAATCTCCGGGACCCACAGGGTGGAGAGACTGATTTCTCCAAAGTGTCCTCTAACTAACAGAGGTGCAGGATGGAGTGCCGACTCGCAACTGCGTGAGTGCACATATGTGCGAGCGCACACGCACACGCACACACACACACACAGTACAATGTAATTAACTTTTAATAGAAAGAACTATCTTAAGAACAAAAGATATACCAGGCGTGTATATGCCTTTAATCTCAGCACTTGGGAGACAGAGATGGATCTCTGAGAGTTTGAGGCCAGCCTGGTCTACATAATGAATTCCAGGACAGCCAGGGCCAGACAGGAAAAAAAAAAAGAGAAGAAGGAGAAGGCCTGAGACCAGGGTTATAGTAAGACTCTCAGTTCTAAGGATTTGAACACTGCCCCTTATTTGCTACATTGCATTCACCAAGTCACCCGATGCCTCTGAATCTATTGCCTCTGTGGTAACAAGACAGACGTGTGTCTCAAAAGGCTAACATGAAGATTCTTGAGGGCAAGTTTGCAGGCTCACTGGCAGAAAACCTGGAATCTCACTGCTTTTCGTTTCTTGTTTACAGTGAATGTTATAAAAATGTTGTGACTTCCATTTGCACATATGAACCTGTATGTATCTTGGCTTTGATATCCACAAACATTATCCAAACCCAACTGTCCATCAGCATGTTCCTCATTATCTTTGACACCGTGACATGGGCAGAAATGAACTGAAAGGGAACTCCCTCCTGGAGACTTGTATCTTTGGGTTACGGGGGGTGGGAGGGCTACCTGAAATGTAAGACCTTCCCATCTAAGAGTCAAAGTATAAAGGACAATGAAACAGAGGAGCAGACTGAAGAAACCCATGTCCTAGACCAATAGAAGCAAGTCAGAGAGACCACAGATGCCAGACCAATGTGGGACAAGCAAGGTCAGACCAGCCAGGTTAGACAGATGGGACATCTGTCAACATCCATGTCATCAAACAGAGGGACCATAAGAAGGGCGGAGCAGGCCAAGGACTGAAGGCCAATGGCAAGGCCCAAGTTCCCCTGGAACTCATGACCTGCCATCCAGCTGGCAAGAACCACAGACAGCCCACTTCAGACAAAGGGGAACCTGAGAAAGTGCCACCCTGGTACTTGGGTGCAGGACTGCCTTGGGAGTAGAGGAAGTATTTGTGGAGAAGTCTCCAGAATTAAAAACAGAACCTTCAACTTCAACATGGATTACTCAGCATCCTTGGTCTGCAGCGTGACAGGAACAATCTCTGACACAACATCTCAGACTCCTCTACTTCCAGAGCACCCTGGAGGGAAGGGTCCACGATACAGCTGAGAGTGCCCAGGCAGTCTATGGCCCTATGGGTATCACTCCAGCAGGTGCCAAATGCAAATGTCCCCCAGGTGTTTCTGATGGACCTGCGAGGTAGAGAGCTCCTCCCTGATGGTGGCCTTGCTCACAGGGAGGCGCTTCGCTGATATGCTAAGATTCTGTCATTCTCACATCTTGTCAGCTCACTGGCTCAGGAGGAAGGGTGCTACACTCAGATTTAACAGAGCCTGAGGGTAGATTTCTATGTGCACAGTGGGGGAAGGGAGACCCCTGGCCAGATTCCACATAGCGCACTATTCTCCAACCTCAGCCTCTGGCTCAGTCCTAGAGAAACCCCAAGGCTGTCACTGGTGACACAGAGAACCACAGCCAGACCCACAATACAGACATGTAGGTAGGAGGCTGGCAGTGGCCTTGAAGATGTGTGTATGTGTTACTAAAAAGTACACTTTACAGCTGAACTAGCATAAAGGTGAATAATAAAACAAGCTAGGTTTATTATACTCATTTTTAGTTCTGATATTCAAAGAAATTAGTTTTTTTTTTTTTTTTTAAATTGTGGGTTCCAAGATATGCCTTGCATACGTAAGTCTCTTGGATCAATCTCTAGCATTATATACAAATACTTGTGAACACACACACACACACACACACACACACACACACACCTCTTTTAGGGTCTCTGAGTTTCAAGGAACCCAAGTGTTGCACTTAACGGATACTGAGTAACTCCAATATCCACGGCTAAGTGAGCCATGCTTGAAATGAATACATCCAAATGCATATCCGCATGAAGTATGGTTCTAGCCTGCAACAACTTCGTAAGCCTGGGTAGGGTTGGTGATACTCCCCAGGTCTATAAGAAGCTGGCCGTGGTAGCTGCCCACCCCCACCACCCGCTGCCGTGTCTGAGCACCTTTCACAGGCCACTTCACTTGCCATTGGACCATCCCAGAGGTCTGCTGAAGGGCAGTGATGCAGGCCCTGACAACCCTCCAGCAGCCAGGAGGAAGCTTGAGGTGCTTCCACCCAAGCACCCCAACCGCGAGTGTGGCTCACACACCTCTTCAGCAGAGGCTCCAGCCACCCCTCATGGCATTCACAGTGACAGTCTAGGAAGGTCAGCACTTCGCCCCTGGCCACGGAGGCTCCCAGCAGCCGGGCTCGAACTAGGCCCTCCCTCTTGTTAGCGCGGATCAGGCGCACCTTGGGCAGCTGGGACAGCTCGTTGGCCAAGCGTTCCTTCAGGTGCTCTAGAACACAAACAGAACAGTAGTCACAGCCCCACATCCTTAGAGACCAAACATCCCATCCCCACCACCCAGCACCTCCCTGACTCCCTCAGATGACACCCAAAATGCCCAGAAGCAAGGCCAGACCTATCTGCAGACACTCTCAATCATATGCTTAAAATGGGTGAGTGTTATGGTGCCTGAATATGTCTCCGCAAAACTGATGCTAAAAGTATTTCATAAGAGACTGGAGAGAGGGATTAGCGGTTAAAAATACTAGCCACCCTTCCAGAGGACAAGAGCTGGGTTCCCAGCACCCCATCAGGCTGCTTATAATCATCTCTAACTCCAATTTCAGGGGATCCAGCACCCTCTTCTGGCCTCCAAGGGCACTGTACACACGATGCACACACACACACACACACACACACACACCTTATTGATTATTTTTTGATGTTATGTATATGGATATTTTGCCAAGATATATATTCATGCATCGTTTGTATGAATACTGCCTGCAGAGACCAGAGAGGGCATCAGATCCCCTGGAACTGTTGTTACAGACCATTCTGAGCCATCATATCGGCACTGGAACCAAATCTAGGTCCTCTGATAAAACAGCAAATGACTGCTATTAGCCACTGAGCCTGCTCTCTAGCCACCAATAAACCTTTATTTAGAAGACCTTCGTAGGTTGACTTGTACACATTTAAAACTGAGCCCACTGAATATGGTCCCTTGCCTCTATGGGCACACTGTGATTAGAGCTTCGCCATCAAAATGGTACTGTCGGGAGCTCTTGGAACCTTTTAGAGGTGGGACCTGGGGGCAGGTCCTGAGGCTGCTGGTGAGAGTGCATTTCTGGGGGATACAGGTCTCCTGTCCCCAGGTACAATCACTAGCTCTCACATAACTCTCTACCAATGTTTTCCACTATAATGTGCTAAAGCTAAGAAACTGAACTCCCATAACAATAAGCCGAAGAAACTTCTTCCTCCTAAGCGGCCTGCATCAGATGTTTTGCTATAGAAACAGAAAGTTGACTAAGACATAATTTTTATTAAAACAGTAATTATATTAGCCAACATTTTCTTCGGAAGCAGCACTCTATAGGGTAGCAGCAGCAACAGCTTGTCAGAGTGATGACATGGTCGGAAGCTGCCTCCCATAATGAAGCTAGTAGTTACCTGCTTCTACGCTCTTGACATTTCTCTAAGTTGAACCCAATGATCCTGACTTTAGCCAGTCACCCAACATCCACTGTCTACAGACCCTCCTTGGATACACTAGTCCCAGCTAAACCAAGACTGACCTGTGTTTGGGCAAGAGACATTCCCCCACTTCTTCACTTCCAACCTTGACCAACCTTGCCCCTGACCTTGGCTGTTCCTCATATAACACACTGACCTCTTAGACTGATCTAGAATCCACCTGTCTCTCTAAAGCTTGGCTCCTACCAAACTCTTGAAATCCCAATAGCTTATGGTGACCTCTAAGGGCAAAGCTCCCCAGAAAGCCTCCCTCACCACTGGCCAATAGCTGACCCAGAGTATACCTATCCTTCACGCTCTCACCCTAGCTACAGACTTAGGATAGACATAGACAAAGGACTTACCTCTGTCGCTGTAGTCATCAACCAGAATGACCTCCTCCAGCAAGATGTCAGGGGAGGTCTCAAGAACACTGTAAACTGTCCGAAGGAGTGTGGACCAGGCTTCATTATAAAATGCTATGATAACAGAAGTCTTGGGCAGATTATCGTAATCGTATTTCTCCTCTCTGCACCTGTAAGTGGAATGTAACTTCAACAACAGAGAAGCCAGCAGGGTTACAGCACTGGGAACAGAGTGATGATGGGACATGGGACATGGCCTTTAGGCTTCTCCTGGGAAATAATCTACGAGAGGATCTCCCACATGGAGCGCCAGGAAACTCTTAAGAAAAACTATATCCTAATAATGCCTGCTTATGGGATATTCGTTTTAAACTGCACAGCAGTGTGAAGATTTGAGCGACACAAAAACCAGACAGAATCTGAGGGAGGAGACCGCTACTCCCTCGGTGCTTAGCTCAGCCTGCTCCCCCCTCCTAGCAGTTCCTGCTTCTTCCTCCCTTCTCTACGTGGCAAACTCCCTGTGCCCTCCAAGAACAGCTCCGCCCTGATCGTCCTCTAGGAAGGAAAAGCTGGTGGCCACACGGTGCTCCCCATCTCCTCCGTTTCAGCATGTGCAGTCTGTCGTCCTCCTCTCACCCAAGGACTGTGTTCACCTGCCCCAGCATCCAGAAGTCACTATGCCGCACAGAGGTGGGAAGCTGAGCACATATGCTAGACCTGCGGCTAGGGTGTTAGGTGGCAGCCTCCGGGGGTGGAACTGAGTCCGTCTGATCCCAGGAGAGGGGCCATGACTAACGATGGTGGGAGTCCCTGCTTGTTCCGGAGTTTGCTGTCACTTTGCACTGAAGGCTCCCTGGTCAATACATCAATCCACCCTCAGAGTGACAGAGCAACCTCAGTGCCATGGGACTGACCATGGGGAAGTACCTGGAGATTATAGCAAGATGAAAGAATGCCAGAGCCACGAGATTTTCGACACTGGGACCAGGCCGAGGGATAAGTTGGCTATGGGAGGAAAAGCTAAGCATGAAGGAGTAGCCAAGCTACTGGTTTCCTGGCAGCCAAGGGAAGGCATCAAAAGACAGGTGAGTGACAGACTGCAGAGACACAGAGCTACACAGAACTCACAACTGGCGACTGCCTAGCAATGCTTCAGTGCCCCCGCCCCACTCAGTCAGTCAACGGGGATTTCCTAGTTGCCTGCCATGTGCCGATCAGGCAAGGGCTGTGATCCATGAAGCCTGCATTCAGGGGACAGTAATCAGACAAGTTAATAATGACCAAAGGAACCCATATCATAAAGAACAGCTGTGGAGGGGTGGGAGAGGAGTGACCCCAGAATCTGTGAGGTAGATGGCCCTCTGCAGGGGTGACATATAAAGAAGCTTAGCTCTGGGGACTTAGCTCAGAACGCTTGTCTAGTGTGCACAAACCCCTGGGTTTGACCCCAGCAGCTCATAAACCAGGACTGGTGATGCACACTTATCATCTTGGGATACAGAGATAGGAGAATCAGAAGTTCAAGGCCACGTTCGTCTATATGGTGAATTTAAGGCCAGCCCGGGTTACGTGAGAACTACCTGACCAGAAACCCAACCCCAGCCCTACAAAACAAAGAGGGGTCACTTTGCATGTGGAATTTAACTTATTTCTGGAATTGTTTCCATTTTATTTTACTTTGAAAGTTTTCAAACATAAAAGGCAGAGGGAGTCAGGATCTTCCAATGTTTCTGCCCACCAAGATAGCTGTCAACACACAGGCAATCTCAACCGGTGTTTTCATTACCCATCCCCTACTGTCCCCATCTCAGATTGCTTTTAAAGAAAATCCCGCATACCACAGCACCCATAACTACTTTAATATGGGTTTCTAAAAGATAAAAATTTGTTTCTTAACATACAACAAATGTATATTTGTTTTTGTCATACCTTAAAAATGGAATAACTCCTTGAGGCTATCCTAGCTCCAGTAATTCATCAAAGCTAACTGGCCTGAGAGACACAGTTTCATGAACCAGAAAGGCAAATGTTGTCAACTGAATTTCACAGAACATATTCGTTTTTAAGATGCCAAAAAATGGGATTGGCGGGACAAGGAGGACATAGGTCCCTGATAGATAAAATGCAGTATCTGATCTTTACCTCTGAAACCCCTTCCTGGGCTGGATAGATAATAATATGGTTAAAAGTGTTTATTGCTCTTGCAGTTGTATGTGCACATACACACACATACACACAATTAAAAACAACAACACGTCTCCCACGTCAGCCTCACTGACCTTGTTTGAAAGATATGGCTCAGAGAGGTGGAATGGCATTCTCAGCCCACAGAGCACAGGGTGTTGGGGGTTGATCTGGTGTTCTGTGAATTCAGATGCTGAATTCTGTGCCCCAAGATCTGGCTGCAGTTCAGATGTGGGCATTGTCACACTCAATGATCAACGCTGTGTAAACTTTTATCCCCAATTATCTCTGATTGGTTAATGAGGTTGCTGACAGCCAATTACTGAGCAGAGGAGATAGGAAGGTGGAACTTCCGTTATCAGTCTTGGGGTCTCAGGTAGGGATCATGAAAGGGAGAAGAAAAAGAAGAGGTAGAGAAAAGATATGACTTGATGGAGATTGATGCGCAGAGCATAAGTAGCCCAGGCAGGACCAATATGGCAAGTAATTTGGGACACGTGGCTGGGAAGTAGCCAGACCAGCACAGAGGGTTAGAATAGATGCATATCTGCTCAGCTCTTGTGCCCTAAAGCTTATTAATAAATCTGTAAGTCTCTGTCATTTGTTTGGGAGTTAGAATAGATGATTAGGACCCCCCCCCCAAAAAAAATTATAAAATATCATTTTAACAGAGCTCAGAATATACTGGGTTAGGATATCTGTATCCAAAGATGTTCTTAGGAGGTCCTGGTTCATCCCTTGCATCCAGGAGTCTTAGGAGACCACCTGAATTTCTACACGATGATCCCTGGACCACGTATCCCTGTATGGCACTCCTTCCTACCAAACTGAGCAATTTTCCTTTGTCCTTCCTGGGGCCTTCTGGTAGATTCCAAGTCCCTGGCATAATTGCCACAACCACTTCTGCAGTGAGCCCTGAGGCTCTGTGGCCACTGTCTGGCTCTACTATCATTGAAATGGCTTCTTCAGAACCACAAATAGCCTATTAAGAGACTCTGTTTGGGGAAGGGGGCTGCTCTTCTCAGCCACTTCCACATTCTCATCCCTACTGCATCCAGAGGCCCTGCTCAGGCACTCAAGAAAAAGTCATCTGGGGCACATGGACACTCTGTTGCCATGAAGCCACAGGGTACCTCTGCCTGCACCTAGCCAAGCAGGTGCTACATCTTCAGACACTGGACTGTAATTCATTGACACAGCAGCATCAACATCAGGAAAATCTAGTAAGCCACACAAGGGAGTCTGGCCTATATTCAAGGGGAGAATTTAACCCAGCCTTGGAAGGAACAGTATCAGAGAATTTGTAGACATATTTCAAACTACCATGCAAGAACAGAAGACATGGTGGATAACATTTGTTCCATATTTCCTCAGTGGAAGGTAGCACAGGAAAAGCAGCTTCCATATTGTGAGAATACACAAGCAGCCTTGGAGGAGGCTAACAGCCAGGTAAGAATGCCATCTTAAGAGTCAGGGTTGCCAGCCCCATCACGGGTTCAGATGACAAAGACTCAGCCATCATGCTGGCTGACACTTTGTGAAACTCTGACCCAGACCAGCCTATTTATGGTACTTCTATTTGGGCTGTTTTTCCTATGGCATTCCTAAAGCCCTGACCATAGGAACTATGTGAAATAATAATGCCTACCATTATTTAAATTGTGGCATTTTTTGTGGCAATCCATACTTCAAAATAAATCACAAGAAAGCCCAAGCTGACAAACCCTTTTAAGTCAACATCACTGTACTCAGCAAAATGTCCATGGCCTGAGATGACCAAAGGCTGAGGAACTGCTGCAGACTGAGGTGACTGAAGAGGCAGGAAACTAAGCCGTGGGTAGTGGCCTGTGATCCGGACACTGAGAAGGTTAAGGCACGGCAATCAGGAGTTCAATGTCATCATCAGATAGACACATGTTCCAGGCCAGCCAGACCTATATAGTGAGGCCTGTCTCAAAAAAAAAAAAAAAAAAAAAAAAAAAAACAATAAAACAAAGTATTGTAACAAGCCAAGTTTGGTACCTCACACCTGTAATCCCGGCACTTGAGAAGCCAAGGTAAATGGGTGGTGAGTACCAGGGCAGCCTGAGCTACACAGAGAGTCCTTGTGTCATAAAACAAAACCAAACGAACAAGTAACAAACAGGAAGCAGAAGATAAGATAGCATAATCAAACCCAGAGGTAGCTACGAGCACAATAAGATCAGTGGGTATAAACATCTGCTTAACAGTCAATGGCCGTGTGTGACAGAGAGAAAGGCAGAAAGAGAGAGAGACATTGGGGTCTTGCAATAGCTGGCCTTGACCTAAAAAGATCCTCCTTGTCCCAAATCCAAAACACCATCACACACCTGGGTGGCACTTTGTGTGTGTGCGTGTGTTTGTGCAGGCGTATGTGTGCAAGCATGCAGAGGGCAGTGCCTGATGCTGGAAATCTTCCACCCTACTCTTTGAGACAGTCTCTCACCGAACCTGTAGCTCATGGATTCGAGTAGATTGGTTGGTTGTCTAGCCAGGTCTGTGGTTCTGCTTGTGTCTGCCCCTACCCAGCCCCAGGGCTAGCACTGCGGGCTGTTACAGAAATTCATTCTCCTGGGAGAGGAAAGCAAACATCTACCCATTCCTTACTGGGCACTAAAAAACTGACCAAAGTTTGTTTTTCATTTTTGGGTTTTGTTAAAGTCCAACTTGCTGAACAGGAAGTTTACTGGGTTTCCTTATGGAACACAGGTGAGGGATGATTCAGGTGCATGGACGACACCAGCCGTACCAACTACAAGGTCTCGCCCCAGCATAAACGATGACTTCCCCAGAGCTGCACAGATGTGTCTCCCCTTCAGTCATCCTTCCCTGTCCTATACACTGTAACAGAAATCTGGGGTTCTTTGTATGTTATGTAAATATGCTTTTGTGTTAATCCCAAGTGTGGGGTTAACTGTCACATTCGGGGTGTGATCTTTGCCACATGGAGAGGGGCATGGTCTGG